GAACATTTGCTCTTGTTCATTTATGTGTATGTACATATGCATCCTTTAGGACATGGAGCTTACTCTTCCCTTTAGTGATTTGAAATGTGAGTTCTTGAATAAGGTTCCGTTTTGCAACATCAATTGATTTAATATTATGTTTTCACTAATAATGATACTACTAGAAGAATTCCATGTAACATTTACTAATGACATTTGAGCAAAGGACAAATAACACACACACACACACACACACACACACACTGAGGACTAAAAACACACACACTGAAGACTAAAAACACATACTAAAAACACATATTTTAAATTTGAGGGATTAAACTAATATTTTTTAATATTTTAAGGACTAAAACTACAAGTTTTTTATTTCAGGGAAAAAATTATATTACACAAAAATTTAATTGATAAATATATATGTTAAATAAAAATTTGAATTAGAAAATAAGTTAAGAGAATCACTAAAGACACTTCTATTAAGAAATAGTTTCTAAAAATACTCTCATACAAGATAGTCATTCTCATTTAATGATAGAGATTATTTATTAGTTTTTATTTACATATAATCATTCTTTTTTAATAATAGAGGTTGATTATTATTTTTTATTTGCACAGTTGATCTTTTTGACTACTTATTTCCTTTAATCTACTATCTTTTATTTTTATATCTAAATTAAATTTGAATTATTATTCTAAAAAAATTATCATCGATTAAAAATATTCTCCTATCACAATATATAAATAGAATATAAAGTTTTGACTTCCATGTTTTAATAATTAATTTGACCTCTTAATATTATAATCACATCTTCTAATTATTTATTTATTTAATTTCAAAAATAAATTTAACTTAAATTTTAATTTTCACTCATTTTGTCGCCTTAATATAAGCAGTTACTTTTTTTATCTTAATATTTTATTTTTGTATTTTTGATTATTTATTAATTATATTTTATTTGATTTGTTTTATATTTTATTTAAATAAAATACATAAAGACAAAAAGTACTTTAACCTTACTAGTTTATCATAAATCTAAAATATAACTTATATGTAAAAATATATTTATTTATTATGAATTAAAGTACATAAAAATAAATATTTATCATGTAAAAAAAACTAAAATAAATATAGTTTCCTTTCTCTTAAAAACCCTCAACAATTTTTTTTCTTTGAGATTTGGCTCATGATATATGTATCTCCTTTTTTTATAAGTACACCTCCTTTATTAATTTTCTAAAAAAAATTCTTTAAATATCCTTAATTTTTTTTTAACTTTACACTTCAAAATTTTAATTTACTACTTTTGTTTTTCACACACTTTTTTCCTTCTATATTTCAGTTTTCACATGTATCTTTTTGTCTTTCTCCAATTTTTTACTTATTTCAGTAGGTAATTTTAGTTCACTTGATTTTTACATTACTCTTTTCTCTCATCATTTCTTTCACCTTTTCATATGCACTCATATCTTAGTACTGGTGTATTACAACATTATAGGTACATGAATCTTTCTTGATAATTTATATCAAATTAGACGTACATTTTTTTTCTTTCAACACTTTCTCTCCTTTCACACCTCCAAAAACTTTAACATTAAATTTAGTGTTTTGAAAAAAGACATTTTGGAACACAAATTTCACTATTTTGAAGTAATATCTGGGATAGTGGAGCTCAAGAAGTGGCTAGGAAGCGCCAAAGGCCAATGGGTCGACGAACTCCCCAGCATCCTCTGGGCATACCATTGTACCCCCCAATGAACGATGCAAGAAACACCCTACAGGCTAACTTATGGAGTCGACGCAATGATCCCAGTGGAAGTCGGCAAGGCATCTCATCGGCGTCGTGTTTTTGACAATGAACAAAACACTCAAGAGACAGCGACCGACCTCGACCTAATTGACGAACTCATAGAAGAAGCTCGGATCCATGAAGAAGCTTGTAAGCTCCGAGCCTCTAGAAGGTACAACACACGCGTCCGACCTTGCTCTTTCCGAGTTGGCGACTTGGTGAGGCGACTACTAGGCGACGCTCGAAGAGACCCGTCAGAAGGGAAGCTCGCGCCCAACTGGGATGGCCCATTCAGAATCATTGAAAACTTAGAAAATGGGGCTTACCGACTGGAAGAGCTTAGTGGCAAACCCATCCCACGAACTTGGAATGCCACGCATCTCAAGTTCTACTTCAGTTGAAATTGTAAGAATGAGCTATGCACTCTTTTCCTGCCTCAGTCTTTTGTCCCAAAAAACAGAAAAATGGGTTTTGGCTGAGAGGGTTTTTAATGAGGCATACCCACAACATTAATAAAATAACTCATTCTTTTTCTGTTCATACTCTCTTAACTATACATCATTTTACCACACAATGCTTTATATTAAGCTGAGGTCGAGTTCGAACCATTGGTACGATTTATCTTATATTAAGCCGAGGTCGAGTTCGAACCTTGGTACGATTTATCTTATATTAAGCCGAGGTCGAGTTCGAACCTTGGTACGATTTATCTTATATTAAGCCGAGGTCGAGTTCGAACCTTGGTACGATTTATCTTATATTAAGCCGAGGTCGAGTTCGAACCTTGGTACGATTTATCTTATATTAAGCCGAGGTCGAGTTCGAACCTTGGTACGATTTATCTTATATTAAGCCGAGGTCGAGTTCGAACCTTGGTACGATTTATCTTATATTAAGCCGAGGTCGAGTTCGAACCTTGGTACGATTTATCTTATATTAAGCCGAGGTCGAGTTCGAACCTTGGTACGATTTACCTTATATTAAGCCGAGGTCGAGTTCGAACCTTGGTACGATTTATCTTATATTAAGCCGAGGTCGAGTTCGAACCTTGGTACGATTTACCTTATATTAAGCCGAGGTCGAGTTCGAACCTTGGTACGATTTACCTTATATTAAGCCGAGGTCGAGTTCGAACCTTGGTACGATTTATCTCATATTAAGCCAAGGTCGAGTTCGAACCTGGGTATGATTTATCTGACATTAACCCGGGGTCGAATACGAACCTTGGTACGATTCATCTTACATCAACCCGAGGTCGAATACGAACCTTGGCACAATTTATCTCACATTAAGCCGAGGTCGAATTCGAACCTTAGCGCGAATTATCACATATTATGCCGAGGTCGAATTCGAACCTTGGTGCAACTCACTTGAAACTAAGCCAAAGTTTGAACGTGTTTTGAAATCGCAGAAACGGGCTAAAACTAAGCCAAAAAACTGAATTCCATTTCGCGCGCAAAAACAAAAGGTCAAAAGAAAACCATCAAAAGCGCAGAGACGAAAACACAGGGAAACAATATATACACAACAATTATGAGTTCACAACACGAATCCAAAGAGGAAAAGAAATGAGCAAAACTAAATGAACTAAGCTATTACAAAAGATGGCCTAGGCGGAGGCATTCTCACTCGAGCTGTCGTGAAGGTCGTCTTCCTTCACCAGCTTCCCAAAGCGCAACTCTTTCTCTACATGCATTGCCGAGAGGTCGACCCCGGGCGCGAGCAACCTCGCCTGGCGAGCTACTTTGAGGAATCCCCTCTTGTGCTCGAACAGGACAGCTCGCTCAGTGTCGACGAGGTTCTTCTCCAGCTCCGCCTTCGCCTCAGCCATCTTTGCCAGGTCCACCCTCAACGCGGTGACCTCCTCTTCTTTCCCACCAAGAAGCACCTCATCACAAAGACACTTCTCGGCCACCACCACCAAATCAGCCTTCAGCGAGGTCACCTAGTCTTCCAAGGAACGCACCCGACCCTGGGAAAAACTAGCGAGTTCCTGCAACTCACCCACTTGCGCAGAGTAAGTCTCATTAGACCTCAGAGCAATCTCTAAGGACTTCTAAACTCTCTCCAACTCCCTCCTGGTGGCTTGGAGCTCAGCCTCGTTTTGCAGCTTGGCATCACCGAGAGCAGCCGCCAAGCGCCTCTTGGCAGTATAGCAAGGAAGCGTACGCGAAGAGTCACGGCTCCCCTCCAAGCTCGGCATTAACTCTTTGACCCACAGTCTTCAGAGCTCGGGGGCTAGTGTAACATTCATATCGCGATGTCGAGGTCTAGCTCGGCATCACAACGCAGGACGATCTCGGATACGCACCTCGGACACGCGCTTTGTGACCTCGACCAAGACGAGGTCCGCTACCTAAATAAATCATAACTGATCTCAAGCCCAAAGCCAAGTAAAACCCTAATCCACACAAAGGTATGTGCATTACTTATACGAGACTCATACACTCACAAACACTAACTTTAGTATCGAAGTCTCTTTTGAAGGTACCACCCCCATCTTGGAACAGCAAACGTACCAGTGAAGGAGGCTCGTCGATCTTACCCAGCAGATCGTCCCCTACGACCGATCTCCAGTAAGAACAGTTGGTTATTTGAAAATTCACATGATCTAGGTCGTTCATTAGGGCTTTATTTTGAATGTGGGTCGTTCATGTGGAGAGAGAAAGAACAAAAATTACCTTTTGGTTTTCCCTCTTAAAAATGGATTTTTATATCTATTCATTTTCTTCGCTTTTTCCTCTTTTGTTCAAAATTGCACTTTCCCTCTTCTTTGTGTTTGCAAAGATTTCTTGCATTCTTGCGATTCTTAAAGTTACATGTACTCCTTTTTTCCTTCATTGATTTTTCATTTCCTGGTTTTGTTTCGTTATGGGGAGGATTCAAATGGAGATGATCGCAAGGGGCTATTAAACAGGGAATGTTACAAGTGGGTGAGGAGTGAGGTAGATTAGTACGAGACCCACCTTGATACAAATGATGCGATAGTGGTGTTGCTTGATAGTTGCGCTTTATCTACTTCTAATATAATATAATATAATATAATATAATATAATATAATGTTGATAACTGAATAAAATGTTATAGTTACATTTAATACATCATTTAAGTTAATTATTAATGCAATAAAAATATTAATCATATTACTTTTTTGGGTCAAGTTGGTCCCACCATTCGGTTATAAATACTTGTGCTCGAAGAACATGTATTACGTACAAGATGGACTCATCAAAGTATTACATCGGCAATTTGACATTCTTATTAGCTTTCTTGATTGTACTTTCAGGTAGGAAATAATGTTTGGTTTACGTTCTATTTCATATCTCGACAAAAAAAAAATGCAATTGTTTAAACTACATTTTATTGTCGAATAAAACTAAATCTTTTCCATGTTTATTAGGAAAAAAAACTAATGTTTTTCTTATTTTCTTGTTTTATTTGGGTATGCAGATGTATGTACTAAATTAGATGCAAGAGGATTCATCAACTTTAAAGATGTTAAAATAGGTCATTTAACTTCATCTGGTCCTAGCCCATCTGGGAGTGGACATCCAAAAATGTTGTTGGGGAGTGGTCCAAGTACTAAATCAAATGCAAGAGGATTTATCAACTTCAAAGATGTTAAAATAGGTCATTTAACTTCATCTGGTCCTAGCCCATCTGGGAGTGGACATCCAAAAATGTTGTTGGGGAGTGGTCCAAGTACTAAATCAAATGCAAGAGGATTTATCAACTTCAAAGATGTTAAAATAGGTCATTTAACTTCATCTGGTCCTAGCCCATCTGGGAGTGGACATCCAAAAATGTTGTTGGGGAGTGGTCCAAGTACTAAATCAAATGCAAGAGGATTTATCAACTTCAAAGATGTTAAAATAGGTCATTTAACTTCATCTGGTCCTAGCCCATCTGGGAGTGGACATCCAAAAATGTTGTTGGGGAGTGGTCCAAGTACTAAATCAAATGCAAGAGGATTTATCAACTTCAAAGATGTTAAAATAGGTCATTTAACTTCATCTGGTCCTAGCCCATCTGGGAGTGGACATCCAAAAATGTTGTTGGGGAGTGGTCCAAGTACTAAATCAAATGCAAGAGGATTTATCAACTTCAAAGATGTTAAAATAGGTCATTTAACTTCATCTGGTCCTAGCCCATCTGGGAGTGGACATCCAAAAATGTTGTTGGGGAGTGGTCCAAGTACTAAATCAAATGCAAGAGGATTTATCAACTTCAAAGATGTTAAAATAGGTCATTTAACTTCATCTGGTCCTAGCCCATCTGGGAGTGGACATCCAAAAATGTTGTTGGGGAGTGGTCCAAGTACTAAATCAAATGCAAGAGGATTTATCAACTTCAAAGATGTTAAAATAGGTCATTTAACTTCATCTGGTCCTAGCCCATCTGGGAGTGGACATCCAAAAATGTTGTTGGGGAGTGGTCCAAGTACTAAATCAAATGCAAGAGGATTTATCAACTTCAAAGATGTTAAAATAGGTCATTTAACTTCATCTGGTCCTAGCCCATCTGGGAGTGGACATCCAAAAATGTTGTTGGGGAGTGGTCCAAGTACTAAATCAAATGCAAGAGGATTTATCAACTTCAAAGATGTTAAAATAGGTCATTTAACTTCATCTGGTCCTAGCCCATCTGGGAGTGGACATCCAAAAATGTTGTTGGGGAGTGGTCCAAGTACTAAATCAAATGCAAGAGGATTTATCAACTTCAAAGATGTTAAAATAGGTCATTTAACTTCATCTGGTCCTAGCCCATCTGGGAGTGGACATCCAAAAATGTTGTTGGGGAGTGGTCCAAGTACTAAATCAAATGCAAGAGGATTTATCAACTTCAAAGATGTTAAAATAGGTCATTTAACTTCATCTGGTCCTAGCCCATCTGGGAGTGGACATCCAAAAATGTTGTTGGGGAGTGGTCCAAGTACTAAATCAAATGCAAGAGGATTTATCAACTTCAAAGATGTTAAAATAGGTCATTTAACTTCATCTGGTCCTAGCCCATCTGGGAGTGGACATCCAAAAATGTTGTTGGGGAGTGGTCCAAGTACTAAATCAAATGCAAGAGGATTTATCAACTTCAAAGATGTTAAAATAGGTCATTTAACTTCATCTGGTCCTAGCCCATCTGGGAGTGGACATCCAAAAATGTTGTTGGGGAGTGGTCCAAGTACTAAATCAAATGCAAGAGGATTTATCAACTTCAAAGATGTTAAAATAGGTCATTTAACTTCATCTGGTCCTAGCCCATCTGGGAGTGGACATCCAAAAATGTTGTTGGGGAGTGGTCCAAGTACTAAATCAAATGCAAGAGGATTTATCAACTTCAAAGATGTTAAAATAGGTCATTTAACTTCATCTGGTCCTAGCCCATCTGGGAGTGGACATCCAAAAATGTTGTTGGGGAGTGGTCCAAGTACTAAATCAAATGCAAGAGGATTCATCAACTTCAAAGATGTTAAAATAGGTCATTTAACTTCATCTGGTCCTAGCCCATCTGGGAGTGGACATCCAAAAATGTTGTTAGGGAGTGGTCCAAGTACTAATTCAGATGCAAGGGGATTCATCAACTTCAAAGATGTTAAAATAGGTCATTTAACTTCATCTGGTCCTAGCCCATCTGGGAGTGGACATCCAAAAATATTGTTAGGGAGTGGTCCATGTACTAAATCAGATGCAAGAGGATTCATCAACTTCAAAGATGTTAAAATAGGTCATTTAACTTCGTCTGGTCCTAGCCCATCTGGGAGTGGTCCTAGCTCATCTAGGAGTGGACATCCAAAAATATTGTTAGAGCCAAAATGGAAAATTATACAAAATCCTACGAGGTTAGGAAGTCCACATATAGATCCTTTAAATTATTCTAGTCCTAGCCCTGGAATAGGACACTAAAAAATGTTCTTTCAACCAAAATGGCCAGTTATAGAAAATCCTTAAGGTAAAAAAGCCAACAAGACCCTATCAGCTAAAGTGATACTATAAACTTTTTAAATAGTTTTTTTAAGGTTACTTTAGGCTTTGAAATAAATGTATCAAACTCATTGCATTTGAGAAATAAATGCTTATAATATTTAATATATATGTAACTCTTGTTGGATCGAGATAATATTTTGTTAATATTATTTTTAGTTGTTCTCTTATTTATAAATTTAAAAAATAAATAATCTGTACAAAACATTGGTTATGCACAAAAATCCATTTTATTTTTTTTCAAGAAAAATGTTGTCAAACAAACTAAATGACTAATGCAAACGTTAAGCTTATTTGCACTATTTTTTATTGTTTAAACATTTGTAAGAAAATACTAGATAAAAAATAAGTTACGCTAATATTATCACGCGATATGGTATCTATAGGAAAAATGTTTTTGTGATATATGATAGATTCTTATATGAAGATTATTTTATTAAATTTATTCGTTAAAAATTTGAAAAATTATAATTTAATCATACATTAATTTTCATGTGCTAATGTCTTATTTTGTATTGCAATTATGATCTTTATATTATACTATGTATATCTACTAAACATTTTATTGAAAATATAATAATAATTTGTGTGTCTAAACCTTTTTTTGGATATATTACAAGTAACCTGAAAATCTTTCCATTTCTAAATTTCAACTCAAATTACAATACATAAAGTCAGCCCAACATCTCATTGAATTGTCTAAAGTCTACCAGTCCTGCATCACATTACATAGAGTTTGCAACACAAAACGTTAAACAGTAAAAATCAATAAAGCTAGTAGCTCAACTGGTCCGTCCTGAGTCCAATATCACACAAAGAGTAAAGGACATATTCCCCAAAATTCATAACATGGACCTTTCAGGTGGTGTTTTGCACAAACAATTTTCCTCCAAAAGGAAAAGTAAACTTCTTGATTATCAACAAGTCTAGAGGGGGAATATATATATATATATATATAGAGAGAGAGAGAGAGAGAGAGAGAGAGGAAAAAATACAATTTTTTTTGTTTTTTATTGACTAGCCATTATACAAAATATTATTATTAGTGACAATTAATTAATGAAAATAAATTAAATATACCTCTATTTTATTATTTAATAAAAATATTAATGATTAATAAATAACCACTAAAAATATATTTATAAAAGATTATTGAAAATAGTCGGTAAAAAAAGTAAGAGTAATTTTTAATTTATTTTATTTGGAAAAGTTTAAGTATTATATAAGATAATTAAAGAGTATATAAATGAAAACAACCTTCATCTTAAAAGCTGGTTTTATAGGATTGGGTTAGACTCATAATTTACTATGTTACGATGGTATCCAATCACCTACGTGTATCAAGACAATTCAAGAGTATATGAGTAGAGGACAACTTTTGTCTTACAAGTCTCATATCAACTAGAGATAAAATAATTAAAGAGTATACAAGTTAGGAATCTTTTCCTAAACTTAGTGATAATATTAAGAAATATTAAATACCAATAAAAATGTCACAAAAACACATACATTTTTCTCAGCTATTATAAGGGTCTTTACTAACATATAAAATAATTGTCAATAAATATTTTACCATATATAATGGTTAATGTGAAAATACTAAAAATAATATTAAATATCACAAAATAAAAGTTTGTATTGATTAAAAAGTTCATTGACTTTTTTTATTTCATTTCACTAAATAACTGTAATTGATGTGAAATTTTTCTGTACAAGATAAAAGTTTGCTATATTTTTACATGCTAACTCTGACGTATTATTTTGTTTCCAACCTAAAAAACTCTCTTGCTCAATTTAGTGACTAACACCGTTTGACATGAAATATTATCTATTTGTAGGAAAAAAAAATTGTTTTCCTGTTAATTTAACTAACTTTAATTGAGGTGTTATTTTATCTTTAGAGAGGAAAAAAATTCACTCATCTTGGTCATATATTGACAAACAACAGTTGACGTGAAATTTTCTCTAAATAGAGAAAAAAAAATTGACTTGTCTTAGTTATTTTATAGTTGTTTACTATTCAATTAAATTTTTTAATTTAAATGATCAAAAAGTTATTGTATATAATGAATTATTGAGTAAAATAATTTAACCTATAATTGAGCTTGTTGTAACTTGATCTCACACACACATAAAATAATCATTATTACAATAAAAAAATATTAAGTCTCACTTACACACACATAACTTGATCTCACACACACATAAAACAATCATTTTGCAATAAAAATATTAAGTCTCATACACACACATGCACACATGCATGTAGACACCAAGTTTTGTCCGAACTTTATTTGTGAAGGTCAAGAAGCTCCTGAGACGAGAAAAGCAACTCCCTGAAGCCGAGGAGGACACAGAAGTAAGTCAAGATGAAACACAGAACATTTGGGAAGCTCTTCTGCACCAAAAGGGGTCAAAAACCCTCTTTTGGGTTGGGAATGTTTGTTCCCACTTCACATTGAGCTTGGCCAGGAACGACCGTTCCAAAGAGCAAAACTAAGTGCATTTTGCACACGCAGAACAACCTTTCCAAGATTGGGAACAATCGTTCCCCTTCCCAAGTGCCTATAAAAGCATGCCATGGGCTCCATTTCTCACACACCTCATTCTCTCTCCCCCCTTGACCCCTTTCAAATCACTTTGAGTAAAATAAATTCATTATATGGTGTCTAATTAAGAGATCGATGGTCTCTTTGGCAGAGTTTTCAGAGTTTCTAGTCTAAATTTTTTTCTCCAATGCCAGACAGGTCTCTATAGAGTGAGTAGGCTGCCAAAAAGTGCCCCCACATGATTTTACGAGAAGAGAATCTAAAAGCTTGCTTCGGAGATTCCAATCTCTTTTCCTTTTTTACTACTTTAATTGTATGTTTAGGATAGTCATCATGTAGATAATAAGAAAATTCATATAGTAGAATAGAAATAATGTAAAAATAAATAGCCATGTATGTTTAATAAATAAAGGGGTAAAAGCTTAATTACACAGTTATAATGCTAGAATTGTCATAGGGTACCGAAATCGGGTGCTATGGGGTGCCTAACACCTTCCCCACACATAATCGACCCTCGAACCCAACTTTGGCTTTGAAGGCCAAAGTCAAATTTGCGAAAACACTTTTCTTTTTCTAATGTTTTGTGTAAAATATTAGTGGCGACTCCTTCAAACCATTTTTAAAAACCATCAGTTTGAGGATTAGTCTAGTCTTCGAGCAATCCGAAGCTAATGAGATTTTTACAAAACGGAGGTCCAAACCATCTATTGACAATGTTGGAAGTTTTCAGGTTCTAACAGATGGTGACTCTACTGGGGACATCTAAAAGAGGGTTAGGCCTATTTAGTGACAAATCTAGCAAAATAAGGTGTAATCAAATTTTTACCCTTTTATATTGTTTATTTTTAACATGTTTTTAGTATGACTTTAATAACTGCATGTTTGCTTAAATTCTGCACTTGTTTGAAAATAATCTGTACACATTCATAATTATTCTAGGGAGTGGTTAATGTACGGTCGACCATAGAATGAGCCTTAAATGCTCACGGGTTGTTGTCGAAAATCACGCTCAAGGTAATAACTAGTTACTCTAGCCCGATACTTGGATGGACCACCAACATCTACCAGTTGACGGTGACAAAGATATTGGGTCCCTATAATGAGGGCACCTTGGGGGCCTTGAGACCGGTGAGAACAGTTAGAACCACCCAAGAATATGCACCTTTCATTTTAAGGACCTCAACCAAACATTGTTCCTCTACTTGCTTTGATACCAACATTTCGGAAGATCTCATATAGAGTAGGGCTACTCAACTTTTCCTTTCTAAGGCCTATTGTCAATTCATACCCCAAACCTCTTCATCTTGAATTGCCTATGTAATCTGGCAGTTCCGTTATTCCTTGGGTATCCTTACTGAGTCCTTGTCCTGGTTGGTAGCCATTTCTAAACAAAATCTGAGCTGCCAGGTTCCTCTTGCTTAAGATCTTTTCAACATGTGTGATTTCCAATGCTTGGAAAGTAGTCTCCAAAGCTTCTTCTTCCAGATCCACATATAGGATAGTTAATGGTTTACTGATGATCATGTCCTCCTCTGCTTGCACGATCACCAATTTATCATTAAACACAAACTTGACTTTTTGATGCAGTGTGGATGGCATCGCTTTTTCCTTATGTATCCATGGCCTTTTGAGGAGGTAATTGTAAGCGAGAGCAATGTACATCACTTGGAATTCTACATTAAAAATTGTGGGCCCTACCTAAATGAGTAAAGTGATTTCTCCCATCACTTCTTTTCGGGATCCATCAAAGGCTCGAATGATCATGTTGCTTGGTCGCATTTGGGCCTCTTAGATCGTTAATTTGTCGAGAGTGCTCTTAGGTAGCACATTTAAAGAAGACCCATTGTCTACTAAGACCTTGGCGATGAGAAACTCCTTACATTTTACAAAGATATGTAAGGGCTTGTTGTGGTCAAGTCGTTTATTTGGTATCTCATAATTTGTGAAGGTTAAGTGATCATTAGCCGTGATGTGGCTTACGATCTCTTCAAACTTGTCTTGGGAGATATGGTGAGCGACGTATGCTTCGTTTATGACCTTCAGTAAAGCCTTTTGATGTGGTTTTAAACTCATGATTAACGAAAGTAATGTGATTTTTGCTAGAGTGCGGTTCAGTTAATCAATGATGGAATACTCGCTCTGTTGGATAAGCTTGAAGAGCTCAATTTCTCCATCAAATTCCTTTCTCTCCTCCTCTTTATCCTTTTCCTTAAGGACCTTGTTTTGTGATTCTTTAGGAGTGTAGACTCGTCCACTCCTAGTCATTCCTCCAATCCTAGTAATATTTGATGAATCTACGATTGATGAGCTTTATACTTCATAAATCAATGGCATGACCTTGTCACTTTCATACGAAAAAGGACTAGGAGATCGAATTGTTAACTTGGGCATGTTTTGCCCCTCGTCCTTTTGCGTGCTTACTGGTTTTATATGGATCATTCCCTGATTTGATGTGACGGATTTGCAGTTGATTACTAGTGACTTCATTTTTTTGATTTTAATGTGCACACATTAGATTTCCCTTTTTACATATTTATTATTTACGAGGA